ACTCCCCCCACCCCCCACCCCCGTGTAAAGGTAGATAGGAAAAACCCAAACCAAAAAGAAATACAAAGCTCTCCAGCTACCTCCCCAGTAGGGGCAGTACGGAGATGTAGCCCATATTCACTTTACTGGCTTCCTGGAAAGTATTTCCCAGCTTCAGAATTTGGCGAGCAAACGGTTAGGGGAGACAATAATGGGAATGGGCGAGGATAGGATTTTTTTTTTCGAAGCTACGTTTGCATAACCTGCACTTGGCTTTTGTTTCCATTGTGTTTGTTTGGGGTGAGGGGGCTCCTGGGGTGGAAGGGCTTGAGGTGGAAGCAAGCGGACATGTACTTCTGCTGTATGGCACAAAATGACGTGCTCGAAAGATGCTGAAATTTAAAATTTATTTTTACTGTATTTATTTGGAGGGGCTGCTGTAGATGGGGAACTGAAGCCCCCGAGTTCCCTCTTTACCAGATCAGAATCCTGGGGGAGGTCTCCCCGCAACCTCCCATTTCCGCCCACCGAGATTTCAACAAACCCCGGGAATGATGCACAGAGTCCAGAGGAACTGAGCCATTTTCTGGTTTGCCTGTTGGAGACAAATCCACTTGGGGCGGGGGGTGGAGGGTGGGCAACTCGGCGGGGGCTCCAGCTCTCGGGAGGGAGGGATGCCCTGCGAAGCGGACGTGGGGTTACCTCAAAGAGTTCGCCCCGAGGTGCCGGTGCTGGGGAATGGGGCAGGGGGTTGAGTGAAAAACGTTCTTCCCTTTTTAAAAAGGGGAGGGGGGAGAAGCAGACGTTAAATTCTTTTGCAAACATTCATGCCTAAGGAAGGGCTGGAACAGGCAGCCCCGGCCGCCGGAACCGGTCGGACAGGTAGCGAGCTTGTTGACACCGTTATGTTGCAGGGCGCATGCTCACTCCCAAGTTTCCTGGTGCCTTTTCTATTCCACCTTATGAAACTTTTTCCTCGGCGTGGTCTCACCCGCGATTTAAGGCATAGGTGTAGCGGAGCCGGGAGGC